GAGATTCATAAAAGAAAATGTGGGTAAGAATTCTCGATTTGAAATCAAGGAAGAGAAAAAAAAATTGATGTTGGCAAATTTCAATTGAAACTTACACATTCCCCCTCTTCCCCGCTCATCCCTTACTGTGAAGGGATTGCATCTTGATCGATCATCGAGCTAGTCCTAGAAATGGTTAAGGATCTCGGGGTCCTTGCCCGGTAGGTCGAGATCCTATTCCCTTGGTTGTCGTAAATTATCGCGTCGTCGTCGTCGTCTGGAACTCTGCACTTCTCCCCAAGTATTATGGTCTTCGTCCAGATGGAGTCTTCCCGCTTCAATTTCTCTTGCTGGCCATCCTGCCCGTGCTTCGATACCGATCGGCTTCTCGCGATCTTCACGCTCAGGTTCATCTTCAGGTTGTTCTTTCTAGACGCCGCCCTCGGGAGATGGTTGTAGGAATGGCTCTCGTTCATATGCTTCCTCGCAGGTGGAAGTGGGAGCTCTTGGCTTCGAGGTATCTCCACCTTCGCGTCATCTAACTCTACTTTGCCATTTGCTTGAGGTGCGGAAGCGATCGCCGCCTCCGCCGTCTCGGTAATTTTCGATTTGTATGTCGGGCTATCTTTCTCTTTTCCATCTTTGGTGGAAGAATGCGGTCTCCTTCGGAAACGGACGCCGCACAAAGACGTGATCATAACTATCGTCGCGGCGATCCAAAAAACTAGAAATAATTGCGGAAACAGGATATCCGCAAACGGGTAATCACTCCTCTTCGTGGGACCTCTTCTTCCCATTACCAAGACACAGAAAGCCGAGCTCGCGACAATTACCGCACACCCGTGAAGGCACAGACATCGAGAATGACCGAGACGAGAACCGAGTCCCGGCGCGAATCAATATTTACTCGCGGGGCGACGCGGAGTTCCTCTGATTCTCTTCAGAGCATAGCTCTGGGGAACAAATTATTGGACATGCAACCAGGGGATGAAGGAGAGAGAGGGAGGAAAGGACGGTGAAAGAGGCAGTTTTTGGGAATCAACAACCAACCGCTCTCAAATTTAGCAAAGTTCATCTCTCTTCGGCAGTTAAAAGTTTGCTAAACCTTTTGGCCTAAAATGGTGCAAATGCCTCCCCCCCCTTCCCTCTCTCTCTCTCTCTCTTTCGTTTTTGGCCTCACAAATTCACGGCCATTGGCTCATTGTCCAAACACCCAACTCGGGGAGAATGGCGCATGGGCGCCACGTCAGCAGGCCACACCACCATCGAGGGGGCCTCTGGTCTGCAGGCAGGTGCACATGGCCAGCAAAGCATCGATTGGTCCAAAGCTCGATCCCCTTGTCCCCACTTAATTTTCATGCCCCTTCGGGCCTCTGTGTGTCTTTTAAGGTCCGCCCTGTCCTTTGGGCAGGGACAAAGAATCTTGGTTGGTGGCCCCCTTCCGATGAGCTTTGGGTGCACTGATTTAAGGCATGTTTGGTTCAACTTTGAAAATACTACTTGGAGGAATGCAAATACCTTTGAGTGAAAGCCCATTGGGGAAATGGGCTTAGGTCGTGCGACCCCCGCCGAGGGTCGCCTGGCCTCGGGCGACCGCCGGCGGCGGCAGATCTGGCTCGCCGGTGGTCGCCCGACCTCGCCGGCCCTTCTCCCTCGCCGGCCACCCTCGCCGGCCGCCCTCGCCGGCTACCTGGTGAAGAACAGCTTCAAACCAAAAATAAAATAAAATATCTGTGAACAGTAGCATTCGTGGAATGCTAGCATTTGGCCAATGCTAGGTCAAATGCTGAACCAAACACTCCAGCATTTTGGGAATGGGCTTTCGGGGCTCAAAGCCCTTTCCCAAAGCTGAACCAAACACCCCCTTAGAATTCCGCGCCCCCCTCCTGCCCCGCCGTGTGCCCCGTTCGTTCCTATCTATAAAGAGAGAGAGATTCTCGATGCTCTCGAAGCGAGATAGCCGGGCAATCTTATCGGCACCCCGGATGATCGCGAGGTATCAATTGAGCGCGCGCGCGCGCACGCTTGATGCTTCAGTAATACCTTGAATTAATGATGTCGTTTGTGGGGGTCGGCAGCATGCCTGAAAAAGCACGTTGTCCCACCTTTTTTCCTTCGTGGTATTTAATTCCCTCATTTTTTTCTCGGAGAGCTAATCTTCTAAACTGAAATTCTCAATCGGGTGGTTCAATTGAGATTTGCATCTTTCTCGAGCATGGCGATATTTGTAAATTGGGCATCAAAGGTTCTCAAAACTTCTTCATTTGCTTTTCCCTCTTTTTCCCCTTTTGTGCTGGATATATTCAAAAGGGTATCGCTTGGGAAGAGGAGGCTAGGGCTAGAAGTTCTTGCTCACACGCCTCCTTCTAGATCTCAACAAATTGTCCACGTTCGCTATTAAAGCAAATAAGAAAGTGATTAGGTGATGATAGTTGTTAATCCAACTCTGGTAGGAACCCTAGGAAGACAAGTGATATGGTCAAATAAAATCAAGGAGAAGAAATTAAGAAAAGATGATTATCATATATGGAGAATTCATGCATTTGGGGAAACTAATCGATTTTCGTCGGAAGACGTACATATACAACGGAAAACATACAATAGGGATGCTCTCGAAAAGGAGATAGTTGAGCTGACGATTTTTCAATTAATGAAGACGATTATATCTAATTGAACACATGTTGGCGTCGCCGTCATCACACGAAGACCCTTTTTTTTAAATATTCAATATGTCCGTTATAAAATGCATTATATTCAAAATTGATCCATCAAAAGTACAATTATTCACATAGATAATCAGATCGGAGTTGCTCAATTCTATAATCTTCTCTTGCTCGCCGCGATACCGTGTTTGTTCACGGGACTCCTCAATAATTACATTCTTTTAATTGGCTCTATATATAGGTCCATCTATAAAATAAAGCATAGGTCGAAATGTGAACGCAATAGAATAAAGTTTGATGTCTAAGATGATTAAACAATGCGCCTAAATGTACTTTTTAAGGTTAAATATTACGTGTATTGCAACTAAGCATTAGGAGGAGAGTGGATTAGATTCATATACAAAGTAATAATTTCGACGAAAATTTCCTCGACACGGCAATTTTTCGATAATTTAAAAAAATCGAAGTCCTTCTCCGCAAACCTTCAGATATTTTCTTCTGCTCATGCAATTGGACATACTCTAATGGAAGCAATTTTTAAGATAATGTTGCGAGTTGAGAAGATGATGATATGTACGTGTGTTTAAAAAGACAAAAAAAGAGAGGGTATTATTATATTTTGGTTAGGATATTTATGTATAAGAATGGAAAGTTAATTATGACAAAAAATAATAACAATAATACAATAATAGACTACCTGAATAAAAAAAAGGCCGTGAAAATGTCAAGTCAAGGTTATATACTTATTATTATGAATTTTTCTTTCTTTCTTTTTTTGTTATGTCTAGTGTCAGCTAGCTTTTGATGTTAATTGGGCCCTTATCGTGGATTCCATAAAGAGTGCTATGATTGGAATTTGGAAATTATGATGACCACCCGACCAAAAATATGTAAAGTAGGATTGTTTTCAATAAAGCATTTAGGATTATAATTATTCTTTTTAGACCTTGAACTCAAGACAAGAAGCTACTTTCATACTATATGCGTGGAAAATGTGTCTTAATCCAAAATTCATTTGCATAAAAAGGGATATGTATTGTTTACGCTACAAAAGTGCGAATAATTATCAAATTAAACTGTACCTGTGCCGCGAGAATTTCGCGTTGAATGAAATTGAGGGAAATTGACGGAAAATGATGACATCGATATAACAAATGTTGATCATAAACCAAGGGAAGTGGGGCTTTTTCTTTAGATAAACACTTCCCTTTGTTATTTCCATTTGTGGAATAAATTATACCATCAGAGATCTCAAAAAGAAAAGCCAAAATTTAGTAAAATAAGTACCATAATTTCATTACTTCAATTTCTTTTCTTTTTTTCACGCACTTTTCTTTGTGTATTAGAATTTTATATGACATAGGGTGCGTTTATTTTACCGAAAACTTCATGACGAAAGAAAAAAATATTTTCCACAAAGATCATTGTTGAGAAAAATAGTTACTTTTGTCATCCAAACTTCGAAAAATCGAAAAACAAATTTCCGGAAATAATTTTATCTCAAACAAATGGACCCTTAAAGTTAAACAGTGAGCAAAGGAGCCACCCATTTCAATTTGCTCGCCCAGCTCACTCTCAATCTCTTTGTTATGCATTCCCTTTCTTGTACTTTTGGCCAGACTCGTGTGTTTTCTCTTGTGGGTCATATGTTTTTGGGTTAATACCATAAAAAACCCAAAAATGGTAGACATGTGATAATTTTACCCCGAACTAATTTTTTGACCACAAAAAACCCTAAACTGGTATATCTGTGACAAATTTTGCCCGAACTATTTTTTTTTACCATCACAAACCTCACACTGGTACACTTGTGACAATTTTATCCCGAACTATTTTTTTGACCATCACAAATCCCAAACTGATACACCTGCAACGATTTTATTCTAAACTAATTTTTTGATTACTAAAAATCCAAAACTGGTACATTTGTGATAAATTTACCCTCTATTAGTATCCGTTAAATTGGATTAATATCACGAAAAATCACAACTTGGTAAACTTGTGACAAATAGAGGGGTAAAACCCCAAACTGGTACACCTATCAACTATCACGTGTCATCAAACTTAACAATTTGACAGCAAAATTTAATGGAAACTAACAGAGGGTAAATTTGTTAAAAGTGTACAAGTTTAGAGTTTTTTGTGGTCAAAAAAATAATTGAGGGTAAATTTATTACAGATGTACCAATTTGAGATTTTTCGTGATATTAACCCATGTTTTTATTCCGTAGATAAACTTCCCTGTTCACGTCACTGTGAAAAAACAGAGGCGGCAGAAGAAAATACCACAGAGCACGTCTCATTCTTTCCTCTGCCCGGTCGTTTACACAATGACTCTGGTGTGCGACTCTGGTGTGCGCTTATTTAACTCGATTCCGAATCTTTGTAAATCGACAGGGAAACATTTGATTACAAAGGCAATGAAGCATGTGGGCTAGTCGTGTCCTCTTCCACCCAAAATATATATTTCCTGCCCGTCCACGCTCAAGGGAGAGTTCTTGCGATTTCTCAGGCTTTGAATGCTCTGTTTACCAATATCGAATCAACCCAAGATTGTCTTTTTGAAGTACCCGCAGTTTTTTTGACCCGTCCTTTCCGTTTCTTTATTCATTGCTCTCCAAAAGCTTTCTTTGCTTGGCTTCTTCCCATCTGTTTTGGCAGTTTTCTTGATGGTTCTTGCTTGATTGAAACTCCGCGAAGAGCTCGAGCGGCTTTAAATGGAGGACGGTGAGATTGTCAGGAGGAAGTTCCAGAGGGTCTGCGTGTTCTGCGGGAGCAACTCTGGGCACAGACAAGTATTCAGCGATGCAGCTCTTGAACTGGGCGATGAACTGGTTTGTTTTTGACTTGGGCTTTTTATGTGTTTTTGCCAGGATTGTTGCACGTTAACCGGTCTTGTTTTCACACTTGAGTTTGAGAAGGAGAAACAAAAATCGGAACTTTTTTCCTTGTTTGATGCTACAGGAAGTGATTCTGTACTGAAACTCTGAGCGCTCATTAATTTCATTGCACACGGTTAAGAGGGTTTTATTCTGTGACCTCATCATGGCTGTACAATGCGTCGGAGTTTGTGTTTTGACTTTAGCTCTCTTCATAATGTTGACTGTAGCGAAGGTGTTTGATACTTGGAGCCGGTCCACGAACATTTTGATGCAGATAGATGGTCAACGGCATTTGGTGTTTAATATGGTCGATTGTTTTTCCCCTTTTGCGTGTCACTGTTGTTCACCTTTTGTGGGAATAAATTCTTGCAGGTGAAGAGGAAGATGGATTTGGTTTATGGTGGAGGGAGTGTTGGGTTGATGGGTTTAATTTCCCAGAAAGTGTTTGATGGAGGGTGCCATGTTTTGGGGTAACTATGAGACACTCTGTATGGTGTGCCTTTTGTTTTTCCCTTCCATTTATACGAATGTTATTGATTCATGGTAACTCCCTGTTTTTGTAATCTCTACTTCTTTTGCATGCAGGGTGATTCCTAAAGCTCTCATGCCCCTTGAGGTTAGGAACTTTTCTGGTCCTTTTTCATTTCTTTCGAGCCTTTTGGTAAGGCTGAGATTAAGGTCTTTGCGGATTCTCCCCTTCCTCTTTTTTCAGCTGTTCTAGCTAAAGTTGGATAAAACATGTCAGGTCAATCTGATGCCTGAAATTCGCATCTTCTTGTTGTCATAAGCACAAAGTTTAGTCGTTAAATGCGCTTCAACAAGTCACTCTCGGTGATGGTTGTTGCATGTTAGTACGGTATATCTCTCGATCTTAATTGTAACATGGCCCTAGCTCATTACCTGATTATGGTCTGTTCACAGCCTTGCTATGTTGACTTATTTCCGCTTCTTTCTCTGCATCTTTATCTCTAATCTGAGATTATAACATCTTGCGTGCCGCTATGACACTGTCTTAATATGTGATAAACTCTATGTCTCCCATGTTATCAGATATCTGGCCAGACTGTTGGGGAAGTACGGACCGTCCTTGACATGCATGAGCGCAAAGCTGTGATGGCTCGTGAAGCAGATGCCTTCATTGCTCTTCCTGGTATTCTTTAGTATCGACCTTCGTAGTTGTCATGCTTTCATTATTTATCTTATTGTTGAAACTCTATGTTCGCGCTTTTGTTGCTCAGGAGGATATGGAACAATGGAAGAAACTTTGGAAATGATAACATGGTCCCAGCTTGGCATTCATAAGAAACCTGTAATTTCCAAATAGTCTTGTTTAAAATGTAATGGTTACGTATTTGTGCACGAGTTATGATTCTGTGGATGATGATACAGGTTGGTCTCCTGAATGTTGAGGGGTACTACAATAGCCTGCTTGCTTTATTCGACAATGGTGTCAAAGAAGGTTTTATCAAGCCCAGTGCTCGGGATATAGTGCTCTCTGCTCCTACTGCCAAAGAGCTTATGATAAAGATGGAGGTAGGATATAGTCGCTATTCATGCTTCTTACTCTTGTCAGCCGATTCGCGTTAGTGGGCAGAATAATTTTTCAAAAAGAGACATCATGGAAAGCAACTGTAATGCATTCTCGGGACTTAATGTGTCTACTTTGTCTAAAAATAGTAAATGAAACTTCTCATGGTTTGGTAGCTGTATTGTCGAAGCTAGCTCCTGAAGTAATATCACATTGGCCTATCTAGATGTTTTAGCATTAATGGATGAGATTGGACATGCAAATGTTGCATGATGGAGACATCAGTTTGCCTTGTGTCATCGTAATGAATATGAAAGGCCAAAAAATAAAATAACTCGCTATGCTTTTCCTTTCTTGGGTCTTCCTTTTAACCTACTACATAATCCGAACTTCTGATGCTTCTTGCATCAATAGTACTCTATTTGTTGACTTGTAACAGCGAACTGTTTTGCTTTGCTGCTTTGTTGTAGCTCGAATTAGAGTACGTTTTTATCCATTTCTTCATCTCCTTTTGCAGCAATATAACCCTTCCCATGAGCATGTTGCTCCTCATGAGACTTGGCAGATGCACAAGCTTGGTGATTATCCAAGGCAATAAATTGCACAGGAGGCTCACATACAATGGAGGCATTTTTCACGATTGGGTTCATGATGTCAATCATTATTCTTTTGAGTCGTTTGAAAGAGCTTATTCACACGGGCCCAGATATTGTTTGTTCCTGCTAGGGACTGCATCCCCAGCTAGCTGTTTCCCGGCACGAGTTGGTATGGTCAAATGTAGAACTGTTCTGCCATCATATCAATTGGTCGATACTCTATATACAAGATATGCATTTTGAAAATTCTAAGGAGATGATTGTTGCTTTTGTATCGAATCTTCGAGCTTGTTATGATTTGTTCCTGCAAAGGAATGTTTCATGATAGTGAATGTTATAGCATGTTCTAGAGTGGTTGAGTGAAGAATGTCTAGTGAAACTCGTTTGAGCTAAAATATTACGAATTTCTTTGTTCCCCACCTGGGGAAGTGAAGTAAGTTTGGAATTATTCCTTTACCTATCATTGAATCCTGCGTGCAGCTTTTCTTGTACATTGTCATTGAGCTGGAGGATTGAAACATAGCATTACAGTCTTTCAGTACAGGTGACGGATCTAGTTTCTTGCTGCAAGATTCCTCTCTACGGCAATGATTGTTCGGAATAGAGGATGAGTATCATAGCTGGATTCCATCACTACAGTTATTTCCTTAGTTCCCAAATCTTGAATGCTTAACATCGTGGTATAGTTCGGGGCTATTGGTGAAATAAGCACCTGCAGAAAATTCTGCCGTTTGGACAAATCGAAAGTTAAGAGTTTGCCACTGAACTTATGTAGTTGCTTACGGTGAATGAGTTGAAACCGATTGAGTGTTATGCCCCAGTTATTTTCTTGTCATCTTTTTGCTCATAATGAGCATTCAGTTTCGAAGATAGGCATGCATATCACTGCTAAAACCAGATGGGAGTCGTAAAGATGCCAGAAGTACTTTCCGAGGTGTTATATTCTGCTCATCCCCGGCTCTTCTTCATCTTCATCAATGTCATTTTCTTTCCGAAGACTCGAATAGCGACCTTTCATAAATATATCGGTAGAATGCATTAGCATCTCAAGAGTTGCGGAAAATCCTATCCACGACCCCAGGAGTCCAACTGATGCGTCACGTTTGGAAACTTCACTCAGTGTTTGTTGCTTTCTTAGGTTTAGCTTGGCCTTGTTTGGTGGTGCCAACTGCAACCCACATGGATTTCTGAGAGGGCATGTCATAGTGAGGGGTCCTGATGCCCCATCATCTTCTTTTGATTCAAACCACTGTTTTTTTACTCCTCTTGGTGATTAATATGAAAGACCATGAAGAGAACGAGAGTATACAGATCCCAACCCGTTGACTCCGAAAGACAAGTCGACTCTTTAGTATAAACCAGTTGTCCTTTGAGTTTTTGGTTTCCGCGGGACCAGATACCGATGAACTTAACACCATTATTAGTGAAATGAATTTCAGTGTCTGTCATTTCATGCCAACAGTTTTGTTCCCCAGTATTGCTTGGTCATGTCATGGAACACTCTTATAATGCCCTTCCTATGAGAGATTCCTGATATCTGGTTTTGTTTTCTTGCACGCTCACTGGTCTTTCCCACCATTGATGGTTGATGTCAATGTCACGGTGGACCTTGTTCAGTTCGTACGAGTAAAAAGGTGGAAGCGATGGTTTGTTGCTTCCAAAATGAGGGGGTCCCCATTTTCTTGTCTGTTGATCACTGTTGCCAAAAGCCAGTGAGCTGTTGAAGTATACTAGCCAAGAATTGACTGGAGAGGTGCTTTTGGCTCTTCATCTCTCAGAGACATTGCTGGGGGGTCCATTCTCCATTCAGGATATGGTGTTATTTTACTGGGCACAGAGTCCTTGTCATCTCATTTTTTATCATCATTGTGCTTGGCTAAGTGAGGAATCATATCCATGTTATGGATAATAATAGGTCAGCTTCTTTAGAAATTTAATATGGTGTGATGGGTTATGTTGAATTTAGATCTTGGTGTGCACCCATTTGGTGAAGACCTGATTCGAGCCACATAATTCCGTGTTCGATTTATTTTCTAGTTTTCTAATTAATCGCGTTCGATCAACTAGGTTTCACACCAGTTTGATACTTGGGAACTACCATTTCTATCTTCTTCAGTGTAAACTTTTTCATCATCTATTTTCCTGTTATTAACTCATGACAGAGTGATTGGGAACTACAAATCAGAGCTCTCTGTTCTGTTTCTGCATCGCTTTTCTTGTTGATGCCTCTACGATGAAGGACACCCAAGTTGGCAAGCATTGCAAGCTACTAGAATTCACTTAAAGCATAGAAGGCACTGTTTTGGCACGACGACGAATTTCGGAAGTGCTGCTAAGTAATAGAAGTTGAAATACCATCTTGGCACTTAGATTCACGCTGGTCAGTGGAGTCATCAAACGATAAAGATGAAGCTCGCATATGTGCTAGTTGAAAGAAGCAAGCGTTCTAAGGAAGTAGCGCTGCCCTACTAAAGCATGAACTCAACTTTACCTGGTTGGAGGATCTCTTCTTATGAACATCTAGAAGTAACATGGGGTTATGCTTTGGGCCACAACGTGCTAGCGCCATGGAGCTGACATGTTCATCATACCAAATTGTTCACATTGCCATGGCCTTCCCAGTGCTCACCACATTCGCAGTTATCAGTCATTCAGAAGCGACAACATCGAACTTTGCTGTGATTGCCAGGCTCGTAAGGCCTTAACTTTATGACTTAACCTAGTTTGGCTTACTCTCTCTTTTCTTTTAAGGGTAATTGTACAGGCAATTATCATAGAATGAGATGAGGCAACAAAATCAGGTTTCGGTATTCAAACCCAGATGGCAAAATTACCTCTTTGGTTATAACATGATCCTCCCAAAAAGCCGAAAGCCTAAACAGGAAACTGAATGGAAGGAGAGCTGAAGAGCGGAGCAGACAGGTCACATTTTGTTGATGTTCAAATGAATCCCACAAAGTACATAAATGCATGCGTCAGAGCTCCATTAAGGTACTCAAGAGAATGGAGCTGATAGCATGTCTTGATTATCACAAGGATACAGCAACCACTGCCAGACAATGAACTTATTTATGTTACGATCGTGCGGAAATACAATCATAGTTGCTCCGCCTGACTGCAGAAGCCAACCAGGAGGAGAGTGAGCCCACAGAGTCACTTTCCTATATTTAGTTCCCCACATTATCTGAGAAGTCTCTTGCGACTGACTTAAACTAGATAAGGATCTTACCTGATGAATAGTGCACAACTGAAAGAAATCCTTGTAAGCATAGGACAAGAAGAAGAAGAAGCCCGCTGATAAGGTGTCCAGAGCTTATGACGATAGAACTCGAAGTTCCGAGGTTATTTAAGGTGTGGTACTAGTACCATACTAGGTGTCCAGAGACTCAAGATCAGGTAGCCAATTAGTTGAACTTTTGAAATGTAAATTAAAAGACGATATCAACCAAATGCATCAAAAATAAAAGAAGAGAGGCACAAGATGAGAAAGGAAAACTCAGTGTGCAACTGAATGAGCAATGGCAAGATATCAAGGCAAAGAGTTAACAACGATCCCTCACAGAAGAAATGGATTCAGTTATGTGATCCACCATCGAAATTCTGTATCTATGGGATCTGAATTGGCAGGACTCTACCAATATACTGAAAAGCTCCACTCCACAAGACTTCTGAACACAACACATCAGATCAAGTGAAAGCATCAAGTTTCATCGCAGAAAGTTCAGAGTATTCCTAATAAATCAAATTCGTTGTCTACAAGTAATTGAAGCAGTAGACATCAATTCACCAGACGAGGTCTCTCTTTCCTGGCTTTCACTAGCAAAACAGAGAAGTTTAAGAAGGATTGACAACCACAGACAGCCGGAATCACCCACCAGCGAAGGCACTTAAATGAGCAATACGAGACTACTGATGATAGACTCGGAATCAAAGTTCAGGTGCTATCTGCATTTGGGTCATAGGAAGCTCTTATGACCTCATGAAAACCTCATGAAAACTAAGGTGTAACGGTATCTCGCCGACGCTTAACTAAGAAATCACGAGTTCAAGAATATAACTAATCCTAGCTGCATCCCAGACTTTGCTGAGAGGATCTGAGAAAAGCGCCTAAGTCCCGTCATGGCCGCCAATTGTCGAACCTAATGAAGGACATAGAGAGCCGTAGCCCTAGCGAATACAGTCCTTGCGTTGCGCAGATCTGACTCGAGAAGTGTCATTCTGAACTTAGAGGCATAATAAACTTGGATGCTAACAAGACATCGCAGCATGATTTAGATCCCTGTTGTGAGCGAAAGAGCAATACTAGCTAACAACGCCTCAGATTATCATTCCCTTAACCCCATAAAACGCAAGCTATGCAACAACCTAAAAATTACAGAAGACTCAGGCCCGTCATCACAAATTGAAGTACTTTCCATCCCATCAGATATGCATGGAACTAAGAGATCGTCGGCCTCTCTCCACAAACATTAATCTCAACTTTAACACCTGCGAGAGCTGTGAACAGCGCCGTGAACAAATAGTGTAGCACAGAAAGAATATTAAATATTGCCAGGAAACATCATGACAGCCACGAATCAACAAAATTTACAGCTTCCCTCCACCGTTTCAGTCCAAATTCCCTAAAGATTGACCATATCAAATTTCAAACTCAAGAACAAGAAATTACCAACGCCCATAACCTCACAAGAGCAAGGCCGTTCACCACCAACCATAGACGACCTGAGAGTACCTGTCCTTGAGCCACCGGAAGCTCTTCCGGAAGGACCCCTTGACCTTCCCTTCGACGCCGTACATCTTGTAGCTGGCGACCCTCCTCTTCCTCTGCAGCTCGGGATCGGCGATTCCCCAGGAGTTGGAAGCCGACCCAGATGCGCTCTTCCCTCTCTTCGGCTTAAAGTCTCTCCCTTTATCGTGGCCGCGGAAGTTACCGTTCGGTTGGGCCTGCGGGTAGGCGGCATTGTAGCGCCCGAGCTCGTGGGGTCCGCTGTAGTAGGTCTGCAACTGCATGACGTTATTGCTGTTGCTGCTGCTGACGTTGTTGCCGCTGTAGCTGTTGCCTCCATAGCCGTAGGTTCTTGATCTGTCGTGGTCCTCCATGGTTATGGCGATTGGATGCGTATGAGCTGGGTCTTGATTCTTCTCTGTTCTTGGAGGTTTCTGATGCTGACAGATGAGAGGAGGAGAAGAAGAAGAAGAACAATGATAAGGGAAAAAGGGAGGAGGAGACTCCAATGCACGACGCACTGTATTTCTTTATATAAAAAAACGTATTTTTAAAATTAATCTCTTATATCGCTTATGAAAATAAATAAATAAAAAATATTCAAATTTAAAATGCTTTTATTTCATGAAAACTGAATGATTTGAAAACGTTTTCAAAAAAGTTATTGCTTTTATCGATTACAAAGATGAATAAAGGAAAATATATTTGCATCATTTATGAAATTTTTAAATATGAATTATTGTCGATATAGACCCACCCATGAGTAGCTCAGTTGATTATGGCGTACTTGGAATTGTATGGTTAGGCGCACTGATCCCAGGTTCGATTCCCCAGCTAAGCACTTGTGATTTAAGTGGGGGGCCATGGCGATGGGTTGCTGTGCTAGTCTCCCCCAAGGAATAGTCGAGGTGCGCGCAAGCTGGCTCGAACACCTCGGTTACCAAAAAAAATAAAAATTATTGTCGATATAAGAAAAAAATTATTAACTAATTATTTCAAGAGATATAAACGATCAATTTCTGGAAGATGTTTTATATATCAATTATTTTTCGCGAAACAAACAGAGCATTGAATTGTTATCGATAATGAAAACTTTTTTTAATGATTATTATTTTAAATTATACAAGCGATTACTTTCTGGAAAATATTTTTCAAATTTATTTATTTCCTACAAAATAAATGGAGTTCATAATAAACGAGAGCCCAAAGTTGGTATCGTGGACGCACTTTTTAATTTTCATCGAGTATTTTCAATTTTTAGAATCTTGCCAAACCGTTTTCTTAATTATCTGGAGACCATGTTAAAAAGTGCCTCTATCTTATTAAACAAATTTCGGAAAATTGAATTTTTTTAACATGAAGTAAGTGATTTTACGTGGAATTCTTCCATGTTTAAAATGTGGCCAAAAGTGTTTGTTTTCAATTTCGATAAATTTAACTAGTGTCTGACGGGCACTTAATAATTTGATCCATTTTATCGACAACAGGCACTTTGAGCACTCATTAATAATGTTCCGAATTTAAATTTCCAATGTTTCTTATGATATTTAAGGAAAATCGTACAGTCATTAAGCTCTAAATGAGCTACAATACTTTATAATTAAGTACGCAAGAAAAAAAAAATATATATATATATATATAAAGAAAAATTAGGACGGCGGGGCTAATGGAACTTTCCCTCTAAACAATGGCGTGCTTACCGGGCAATCACATGGTGTGCGGCGATTTATTGCTATTTTAATGGTTTCTATTTTTTTTTAATTTATTGTTTTTATTGGTTTTTTTTTTCTCTAGGAAATTGTGGGGGTTTAATTAAATTTTATTATTTTGACTAGTCAAGGAAAGAACAGTCCGAATGAAAATTGTGACAGATTTTTGGCGCGTGGAAATTTGCTGCATTTTACCAAACATTTTTCAGATAAATATCTTTTCTTAAATAGTCAAACCCTTTGAAAGATTGGAGGAATAATGACACAAACGGCCATTGAATTTCAGCTCAATGTACAATATGATTCATGAATTTTAGTCTAATGTTCAACGCGGTATCTGAACTTTTAATCTGTTCAACATGATTCCTGAACTTTTAGTACATGTTTAATATAGTCCTTGGACTATATGAAAATGATCGATATAGTCCATGTACTTAAATTAATGGAACGACTATATTGAACGGTCAGATTTACCCCTCCACAAAATTTAATGTCGAATTTGGCGGCGAGATAGATTTTTACTTTTTAATTCATTCAAGTCTTTATTATGGAGGCACTTTAATTTTTCTTATAGTTTCTAAGTTCACATAAATTTTTTTAAAATTTACATAATATTTTAAATTTTGGCAGGCTTTTCGCTTTTTGCTGGAGCATAAACGACCATGCCCGCATCAATTTTTCTCTTGATGTGAATAACGGAGTACGTGTATGACGAGTGCTTTCGAGAAAACCGTCCACATCAAATGGGAAGGCAGGCACACGTGAAGAAGATTCTCTTGGTAGAATAATTAAATATTAAATTATATCTTCATTTAATGACTCAAGTTTTTAGAATAATTGACTGCGGTTCAACAAAATCTCACACCTCCTACTTAAGAGTAATTCTCATGTGCCTTGGAAATTGCTTAAATTTTCGGTTTTCCGAGCCTCCAACTCTACTTCTCACACGTGTGCGGGAGTCGTCGCCGCACGTGTGTGTGCGTGCCCGTCGGAGTGGCTCGTGCCCCCCAATTCCGGCGGGGCCAACGGCCGACGACTGGGCAAGGCACCAAGTGGGCCCCACGGAACAGCGTAGCAAAAGTTGGAATTTGACCCGATCGGATCACATCAAATCAATGGGAGTCTACGCCGAAAATAGAATAAGATCGAGAGAGTTAGGACAGGCCCATCACATGTTGCTGTCTTGTCGTCCATTAAATTATTTGATCCACCATAGTCGACCATGTCATATAATATAAGCCCTAAGAAGGAAACAATCAAATCGCTACTATTGAATTTTTCGCACAACTCTTACATGCACGGTTAAAAATATTTTCTTATAGCGAGTCGGGTGGTGTTTGGACCGGCTTTCGAGTTCGCCCGGCATGGGCTTCAGCCCGGAGACTTACTCGAAAGAAAGCTGGGAAAGGCTCGTGCAGCAAGGCCACCATGCTCGTCCTGGAACATCCACAGCCTCCGAAGGGTTAACTCTGGATTAACGGCGGGGTCCTGAGTTATTGTTGTCCATGCGGATGTACTAGTGAGTGAAGCTTGTCGAGGACGACCGGACCCGGTCTATCCCCCGACCTTTTCTAGTCGGCTTGATGTCGAGACTGTAGAAAAAAGACTCTCCTTTTTCTATTCAATGAATATGTTTTCTGTATATTTACAATACTCAATCCTGTTATATATATAGGACATATGACAACCCTAATTAAGAGATATACAATAGAAAGGATTCTATACTAGGAAGAAATCTATACAATAAAAATGCCTAACAAATAGGCTAAAATAGCTCACGACCACAGGGACATGGGCCACTTACTCCTAACCCGTGCGGTCTCTTGGCACGTGGCAAAACGGCACCCGTCAATTCGACGCGCACGGATCGCCTCGCGTGTCAGAAACCGTTCGGCAGCCACCTCTTACTTAGAAACACCCATAAACCATTCACTTTGAGGATAACAATTTCACAAAGGAAAAGCTACGGCTGAAATCTTTTTGGCAGCGATTTATCGTCATCTAAACGTTTTCGATCTCGGTCGACAGTATGTATGAATAATGTTTTGCAAATATACTATTTCCTCGTGAAGTATGCTCATGAACTCTATGTAGGATACACTCCAAAATCCAAATAGACATTCGAACTGTTTGTCCTTACATTTTGGGCTCACCTTTTCAGTGGGCTAATTGGGGAATTGAACTGAGCCTAATCTTGTCTCTTTGCCCATCCAATTTGATAATCAGCTCTATTACACACATTCTTGAAAACACAGAAGCATTCATTTAATTGCAGAACATAGTCAAATCCATCCGTATGCTAGTTCCTGTGCTTCTTGTGATGCGCCATCTCAAAAGGATGCTCGAAGCACAACTGATCCTGTGCCAAGTTAAAAGGCCAGCAACTCGGAAAAAAGAAAACCCTGTCGAAACGAATCGCCATCTTCAATGAAAGCAATTATAGCTGCTGTTATTGTTGCAAATTACGTGAAACGCGGATGACTTAAAGGGTTCGCGGAGAAAAGCATTTTCTGTAAGATGTCAGTATTTGCATTTGTGCACCAAACTCTGAAGTTGAAAATTTAGAAGCTCATGTGTGTTGTTTTGTCAACAGATATAAGGATTAGAAGCACACCGAATGTATTCCTCAAAACATTTACCAAACAGCATTATTTGAAATGATCTGTTGGAGCTCTCTTGTAAATATATAATAAGTTTTCTATAGTTCTGTCTCTATACCATTATTGGGTGCCTTAAGTTTGATTCTCACCCTTGATGCAACGATTAGGCATTTGGACCTTCTCTTCGAAGAGGCGAGAGTTTTCAAGTTCGATCTCTCGCTTGTTGTCAATTCTGAAGATCACCTCAAGAGTTATGGACTCGTGTGATTTTGTTATTATCCAGGTAGTTAGGACACGGGGATTAGTCGATTGCTAACTGACGCAAGACATTTCCAACATTATATCTAGAAAAAGCCTTAAGTCCAACACATCTCTAGGATGAATTTGAGATATTTATTCCATGAACGAACAAAGCGACATTTAAATGTCGATTGGTTGCACAGTTCTTTAGATTAAAAGAGATAACTGAAAGATAGAAAATTTGTGTATCTGTATATTTCATTTCTTTGTGTACATAATATACAGACATGATATACATAAGCCAATGCATCATGATTATACAGGATTCTAACCCTAAACTAGTCAAAGTATATACGCATGATATGCACAAATCTACCAATATTACATCCTCATATCAAACCAAAATCATATCTCTTAACACAGACAATCTCAAACATCAGAAGATGAACAAAGGAATTACATCTCCTCTCTTCTCCTGAACATTATTCCTCTTTCTCCTCCTACGATCAGCAAAATTAGATCACAACAGTCTTATTGAACCATACTATCTAAGTACACTTGAGCTTATAAGTACAACACAATAATGAAGCACGCCTGAATCGGACCATGCATCCTCCCCCTTCTTGGACTCGAAATCAGACCAGTTCTTCTACTATTCCGAGCCAATAGAGTCTATGAATCTGGGATTTCAAAGTTCTTGTTTTGGCAGGAACTCTGGGATAAAAAATTAAGAACCAAAGAGAAAGTTAAAACATGCACTGTACTATGTTAATCATGGTAGGTTTCCAAAGGGAAGCATAGCTGTAAGGTAACAATATTTCAAGAAGAAAGATCCTCTAATTGATCAACTTATCCAGCATGCAGTAGAAAATCAATTCACAGGCCATATGTATGACAAAGAACAGCTTGAAAATTCTTGAAATTATCATTCACAAATCAAGAGATGCAC